TGTGTTTCCAGCTACTTGTGTAACTTCAGGAGGTATGTTAAAGGTTTATATGCACAGAGAAACTGGAGGTAAATCAGTATACAAAGAAAGACACACTAATGAAAAAGAATACACACAGAGAGATAAGTATGCCAATGCGCTCATCTTTTTATTGCACAACAATGTATTGTCTGTTAACGAATGCTTAAACATTGCCACTGACTGACAGACCAGCTTATTGAGATAGACCAGGGTGCGGCTCTGTGTTGTCGGCCAGCAGATGTGGTGGAAAAGACAGCCTTTTGGACACAGGATAAAATCAGCTCCACACCCTGGCCACCAGCTGTGCATCACAGTCTGAAGGGACTGGACAACATCGCCCAAGCATCCCCTTCATCCTTTGAGACTGATTTGGGAGCGCTGTGGCCTGGGCTAGGAGCTGAATTTTCCCTGTATAGTAGACATCACCTTAAGACAGAGCTAGAGTTGGGTAATACTTGAACCTTTTTTTTTATGAGCAGAAGCCTAGCACAGCCTGAGATGGTTGCAGACTGGCCTTCAGAAAGAGCGAACACGTGCTGTATCAGATATCTGTGCTGTTGTCTACATGGTGCTGGTAAAGTTTGTCTGGATGCCCACACCAAGCAGTTTGTGCAGGCTGTGGAATGCTACTAAGTCTAGGGGTGTGCTGGAGATGTTTCTAGAAAGGATTTTCAGTGTTTATGGTTTTTTTTTGTTTGTTTGTGGAGCAATTATGGTCGTGGGCATTTAACACTTTTAAGTTTGTGCTGGCATCTCTCAGCATCACTTGCGGGTTTCAAACCCCTAAATGGCATCGTATTCTCAAGTGGGACCAACATTATAGAAGGAAAGGCACAGGAACACACACACACGCACACAAACTCAAGCACACAGAGTCCTGAAGCAGAGAGAAGGCTTAGGTAAGTTAAGCAGGCTACAGTAGCTACGACACAAAAGTTTAACTGTTAGACTAAATAAAATTTTTGTACAGTAGTTAGTACACAACAATGTCTAAATTTGAAGGTCCCACATAGAATCGTCCAAAGAACTCTTCTTGGATAAGAAAAATACAAGCATGCACTCTGCTTTTTCTGTCAGATAACTCAACCTGGAGTCAGGCTCAAGACTGCGGTGGCTCAAGTCTGGTTTGTTCTTGTTTTTTTGTTTGTTTTTTTATGGCCAACACCAGATCAGTGTGCAACCAACATCAGTGTGAGAAAACTGTGCAACAGCACAGCCTAATAACTATTTCCTAGTATATGCACAGATATGTTTTTTATATTGTGCAAGCATTGCCACAGTTTTGCTTTTTAATTTTCAACCATTTGGGGCTCTTAAATGAGAGCAAGTTATCTAAGCTAATGTCTACTGCCAATATCCACCAGGAGCCAGTCAGAGCTCACCCTCTCACAGTAGAAAATGTATCTTATACAGCAGGCTGTGGTAAAACACAACGAGGTGCCCCACAGCTCTGCTATACCATATTTACAGAACATGAATGTACAGAGTACAGCGCGCATGGTGTTGGAAGGTTCAACCCAACAAAAATGTGCAATTTTGTGTTTCCCGTATCAGGGAAAATTATAAATATTGACATTGTCATTGTAATTCAGCAATAATAGCCTTCACCTAATGGTTTCTTTTTACATATATTGCAAGTTGGAAATAAAAACACATATTTGCATTTTTACAGGCACATACATACCACAAAAATAGACTATGTGGAAACTAGATGTACTAGGCACAAGGTATATACAGTCCATGTGCACAGGGCACATTGTATAAATAAATGGAAAAAACAACACACAAAATGAAATAGACTGATCAATCAAAGCTAACAAACAAAATAATACCCTGATTTGCTAACATATCAACACCAAGGCATTCAGTACTCTTATATTTTATATCTGGTACAGCAAGAATGAGACGTTTGAAGCTTTGATATTCTCAATAATTGTCAGTGTCACACGTGTGTGAGGAAGTTCAGTCCCACTTCACAGCAGAAGTCCAGAAGAACTAATAAACAATCACTTCAAACGCTCATCATCCAGCCAACACAGCGCTATACACTCACCTACTGAACACGCTTGTGACACAGACACAAAGCAGATAAACTGGCAGCATGTGCTTGTCCAGCGCTGTGTCGGGCTCATGGCTGAGAGTTCAAACAGTGATCAAAGTGTCTGGGTCGCGTCCTTTGAGCGGGAGAGACTCACACACTACAAGTCATTAAACAAGGATGTAATCAAACAGAGACTGTGCCTGATATTGCCTGAAACGTTAGCTCTTTAACTCATCTGTCTTGCGCTCACTGACTGAGGACTCATTCAAATAATTTCCGCACAGTCTTGATAGCAGCTTAATAGGGCAAACTCTGGTATTAGCAAAAAGAAAGAGGGGGAGGACGAACCTATCACACTGGAACAGTACTGAAGAGCACAAAAACAGTTGACTCAGACTTCATTCACAATCATATTGGAGTTTTGGCATGTACCTTTCCCATAGGAAAAAATAAACTAGAATAATTTAATAAAACAATACAAACTTTCTTTGCTGCTAATGAAGTGGGAACAGCATTGTAACCCATAGATGACAAAGAACAAGGTTTATTTAGTGCATGTTTTTGATGAAAAAGAAAAGTGTGGCAGTCGACTGTGACAATGAGCCAAGGTTTATAAGCCATGTAATGAAGCCCTTGGATAAAAAAATAAAAAATAAATAAAAATCAGCTGCACCTTGTTTTAAGACTTAGCTTTCAGCAGAAAGTTATGTTAACAACGATCGCAGAGATGTGACTCCTCTGTGCCAATCAGAATCCAAAGGGATTTTTTTCTTACATAAGATGGTTCAATCAACAAGTCTTCATAAATGAATGAAAAGCCACATTGCAGCAATCAATACATGTCTCTGAAAAGGTAGCAAACCTGAGTGAAATGTCCATTGGATTGATTTTACAGTTTGGCTCCGGATCAATGTTCAGAGCTGCAAAAGTTGAACATTGTGTTTGCTTAACACAATGAATCAGCTGCCTATTTGCAATCCCAATTGGATTCCCTTTATTTGTCCTCACACTTTAACCAGATAGTGGGTCCAGGAGAAGTACAGCAACCGTTTTAAGAGAACGGTGCATTGATTTTCATTATGATTGCAAGCTTGTAGTGCAACACAAGGTGCTTAACTGGATGTCCTCAGTGCTCGCTTTGGACAGAGGAGTTCAAACTGGTAACAACTCACTCTCATTCACGCCCATTTCAGTAGATAAAAATTTTCTTTTTAAAAAAATGCATCCTCTTATGTTAGCTCTGTGGATAAGTTGTAGCTTAAAATGTTAAATATAGCAGTGTTCAACCCCAGTAAGCATCAACAGATCCCGCCCCAAAAAAGATCTCACAGACACTCAGCATCTCATACAGCAATGCCCACCCCCCTTTTGCATCAAAATCCTTCCTAAATCTCTGTAGTTTTATTTACATGGCAGTTTATAACTGATCAGCTGTCGTCCTTCTCATATGGCATACATTCAGCAAGAGAAGGATTTTTAGGTTTAACAGGATCAGAATGTTTAAAATTAAATTAACTAAAGCCTCGGCCCAGTCTCACATTTTCAACCAAAGGATTGTTGTGGAGCTAAAAGAGACATTCACCAAAGTTTGAGGTGATTTGGGCGCATAACTATTTTATACAAGTGAGTAGTTTGTGGACCATGAAGCCCACCAACCCCCCTATTTAAATTACTAAATAAATACAGGTATTTTAAAATTGACTTTAAAGTTTCTGAGGATCTGACTTTCTGGGCTCCAAAATGAATTCCCAATGTGATATTAAACAAGCTTAAAGTTGTTTGTCCAGTCTGTTTTGAAAAAGAAAAATGGCACTGCAACATATCCACTCATCCCCTCAAACATTTTTGGTTAAGGTAACAACATGGTCACTGGATTACAATACCTCAAGTGAAGCCACAACAGCTGCTGGATTCTTTAAGATTTTACATTAATAAGAAAACGTAAAGAAACACTTTCCTGTACAGCTTAAGTATAGATATTCATATTTATATATGTATTTATATATAGGCGGGGTAGAGTATTGCAGAATTATATTGCATGTGTTTATCAATGAACCTAGACAGAAACAAGCAAGTATACAGTATGGGTTGTTCACAAATGTTTCCTTTCTGTAAAGCTCAGATTATTTAACCATCTTGGCCTTTAAGGTTACAATCAGTATGTTGAGCAAACAGCTGATCACTTCTCAGATGAGTCACAAAAACAGGGCAGTGCCACCGTCAGCACGTCAAACCAGTCAAGCTTGACGATGCATCATGGAGAGTGTGAGTCCCTTTTCTGAAAATGGAACCAAAACGTATCAACAAATCCCCCCACGCACACACACGCACACTAACACCCACATACATACAAACCAAATATATGGCTTCTAACGTTGAATCAAGGCAGTTAAATAAATGGCATTTTCTTCTGTTTCTTTTTTTTTTTTCTTGTTGATACAGACACAACCAGACATGGAGTTTAAGCTCAACTTTGGTTTGGGTAGATACAATGAATATAATATCCTTCCTTACCTTTTTCATCAACTATTTACATACTGATGTAAGATCGACCAGCGGTCTAAACCACTAACTCCACTACTATTTTAAACAATATGAAGATGAGTGTTCATTTGCTACGACAGCTTATACAGGAAAATAAAATACACTCAAAACATTTTTTTAAATGTCATTGTCATTTGACCTCAAGTCCCTGATTTTCATTTTTAAGTCCAGCTCCTGCTAGATTGCATTGCATGGATTCTACACAGTATGCAATAGGTACATTAATCATACTTTTCTTCATATCTTTACAGTAAAGACAGCAATATGCAGTAGGTGTTTGGAAGCAGAGTGAAAGGGGTGATACTAAGACTAGAAGTGCTGGCAGAGAAGACCAGACCAGTTCAACCTTAATTTTATTCTAGCATATTTCTATAGACTCCTTGCCAATGTGTTCCTAGACGTCGAGTAGCTCTTTTCTTTCTGCTGAGGCCAGCACACAGTGCATCAAGGTCAAATGACCCATGGCGCTGGCAGTAGCTGATTGGTCAGTTTGCAAGCTGAGAGATCAGCTGGACTGACCTTAACTAAACAGATTCTCCTACAAAAAAAGGCCTCATTCCTGAGCTCCACCAGGGTCACAAGTTGGAAGACAGCCGGGCTCTGGCAGAGTCTAGCTCTGGAAGGCTGACAATTGAATCTTTCTTGGGAACTGCAGAGTCTGGAGGTCCTGAGCCAGCAGCTGATGCTACTGCCCCCATTCCAGTAGGTCCACCAGGAGGGGGTGTGGAGACAAAAGCAACCCTCTGCTGGGTTCCTGTAGGTCTCCCCACCCCTGAGGGTCCTGGCAAGCTGTGGGGAGGGGGCTGAGAGGGGCCAATGGAGGAGTTGGAGGTACGAGTAGAGGGTGGAGGGCTGGGAGCTGCAGAGGAAGCTTGTGGCGTTCCCTCCTGGGGAAGTGAAAGTTGGGAGGCAGACAGGACTCGGGTGTCCTGGCTCAAGTTGCCTGTATGAAGGGAGTGGGTGCTCTTGTGTGAGGCAGGTCTCTGCTGGGTCTGTGTGGGACTGGGTGCATGGTGCTGCACAAGGGACAACTGGGAACCAGACGGTCCTACACTTGCCATGTACTGAAAAGTCCGTCCTGAAGCTGTGAGCGGGCTTTGAACTGGCGGGCTGGAAATCGCAGATCCAAATGCTCCTCCAGGTGTCTGGGGCAACTGAGACTGAAGGGGAGACATTGAGACCGGACTGGACAGGTTCTGCATCATCTGGAACCTTCGCACCATGCGTGGAGATTGCAAAGTCCCTGGACCCACCAAAGGACCTGCCATCTGGGGACAGAAACTCATGGCCACAGCTTGTTGGAGTGTGGCAATAGCAGAGCCTGTCTGTGGTTGACCCGGAGGGGCAAATATCCCACCAATTGAAGGGGTCATAGACATGGCCCTCGGCCGCTGCAGGTCCACTAACTTTACCATTTCACGGTCATACTTGACAATCTCTTGAATCATCTCATTCTCTCGGTTGTTGAAAACACCCGAGTTAAGATCATGTTGAACCTTGTGCATCAGAATGGAGTTCTTTTTTCCTGCAAAGAGGACAAAGTAGAAAGGACATTAAAAGACTGAGCTAGCAAAAAACAAACAAAAAAAATTTAAAGAGAAAACAAGCACTAGATACAGCATGTGATGTCCTCTAACAGAACAAACACTGAGGGAAGAGGAGGCCTCACACTGTACACTCATCTATGGTTACCGTGTCCTGTGTTCAGTTTCACTGAACAGTACATATCCTTTTACATCTTATATCTAAATTTATGTTCTTGTAATAGCCATTCATTATCTTTACCTGCTTCTCATTTCTTGGTCATAAAGAACAGGTGCCTATCTCCAGCAGTTGCTGTGCAAGGGACACCCCGAACAGCCTGCAAGTCCATCATAGGGTCACATATTTCCCCTTGTGCATTGTAAGGACTGGCCCAGCCTGACCACTCCAGGTTTTGAGTTTTGGCATGAGGGCTTTAACAGACTACTCGAGTAATCGACAGGTCGATTCCGAGGACATCTATCGAGTTTTTAAATTTCACGTCGAGTATTCGCAGTGATGTCATTACATTGCAGATACGTCATTTCGTCACATGTCACGTAATCTGCACCGGACTACTAGTAGAAGCTATCAAATGGATTCCTCCCAGCAGATGGACTGAGCGGAGCAGGACCAGTCTTAGCAAACAGGTAGAAATGTATCAGTAGTATAGAAATATTTCACTAAACATGAATCTTTCGGTTCATCTACCGTAAGGAAACAGAAAATGAATCAACTTCCTGACTGTTTGGAGCTCACGAACCGGTGTTATACCATATTCTGTGACCACCGTATATTGTGACCATAGGGGGCGGTGTTGCATGCACTGTTGCAGGTCATAGAATATGGTGTAACACTGGGTCCAATCGATCAAACCAGAACCAGCTTCCTCTGACCTTGTTTCACAAACTAAAAGCATAAAATATTAATCTCTAATCCTATAAAAAAAAACTATAAACATATTAAACTCCAAAACTAAACCTTATATGCACCACAGCTGGCAGTGGTGCGGGGTGGTCGACCGCCCCACTGTTTTAGTTTTGTTTTTTACGTGCCGCACGTTTCTTTCACTTTTGTAGCTTAATAATAATAACTAATAGTTTTGGTTTTCCTGTGACTTATTTGCAGTATGATAAATGGTAGGAGCATCATATATGCTCCCAATGTTTTGTTGGTCTTTTTTGGTAAATAATAAATAACGTATTTTGCAGTTTTATTTTTTTAATTTATTTATTTTTCATCTTGATATCCTATGATGTCATCAACTACTCGAGTTCTACTCAAGTTTTATTATGTTAATGTCGAGTTTTAAAATGATGTAGTCGTTCAACCCCTAGTTGGCATTGGGCAGTCTGGCCCACTTCCAGCTCAATTTGTGGAACACAGAGACCTGGGGTTCCTTTCGGGCTGGGCTGGTGCTGCAGATTTGATGTCATCAGACTGCTGGCCATTGATTGGTTCGCTGACCCAGAGGAGTCACGTCACTGATGAGTCATATGCTTAGTGACTGCTCCTTACCACCATTTTTACCACTTCCTTTCCTTCCTTTACCACTATATTTTTATTTTATTTTATGTTTTCCTGTCCGCTGTGCTTGGTTCTTTCTATTGTACTGCACTTTGGTTGGCCTTGCTGCTCTTTTAAGTGCTCTATAAATAAACTGGTATGGTATGGTATGGTATTTTCTTGTTACTTAATACTAGCAGGTTGTGTGATAAGGAGAGCTCATATTTTTCTCATTTTTTTTATTTTTAAACAAAACATAGCACCAGTGCCCTGGACAAACAATGAGGTGCTGATATTGCTGAGATGAGATTTGTATGGTCTTGCTATGACAGTCCACAAGGTTGCCACATCGAGGCGGTACTCTGCTACAAGTAAACAAAACCAGAGCCGGGGAAAACTGGGGCTGGAATATGGTCAGTCCATGCCGGACCGAACTTTACAATGCATGAGGCGATAAAAACAAATTCCTTTTATCACCCTCACCTAGGAACAATTTAGAGTTACCTTACCAATGCACCTAACATGCATGTTTTTGGTCTGTGGGAGGAAACCCGAGTGTCTAGAGAAAACTCACATGTGCACAGTCATATGTAAACTTCACATAGAAAGGCTCGAGGCTAGGAGGCAATCCTACAACCTTTTCACTGAGAGGCAACAACTCTAGCCGCTGCTCTGTCCTGCAGCCGTTTTAGTAACATTTATTTTATTTTAGTACATTTTAGTTTGATTTTTCATTTTTTAACCACATTAAAAACTCTTCTTTGTCATGTATTTACAACACAATTTGTTTCTTAACATGTTTGAGAGCATGAAAGTCACATTCCATTCCTATGTTTGCAGTAGAAGAACATTTGTCAAATTCTTACATTAATGGCAGAATTTTATCTGCTGTGTTTATTTAACAATCTTTTTATTTCACCTATTCGGTCCAGACGATCAATGGCAACAGTCTCGAAGGCTCGCCTCATCATAGGATACTCCTCCAGCACCTCATTGAAGTGGTCAACAGACAGGGAGTAGAGCCGACAGTAAGTCTCTGCTCGCACGCTGGCTGTCCGCCGACCCCTCGTCAATAAACAGATCTCTGAAACAGAAAGAAGAAGCTTAAAGGCAAATGTGAAAAAAGCAACACCTAAAATAAATTAAATGTGAAAATTCAAAAATGGTCCCCCACCTCCAAAATAAGAGCCATCAGACAGTTTCATTGCAAGAGTTCCCTTGGTGATAACGCTGCATACTCCATGTTGGATGAAGTACATTTTTTTGCCGATGGTGCCCTCCCTTATGATGTAGTCTTGTGGTTGGAAAACCTCAAAACGTAGCTTAGTCAACATGGCTGTCACAAAGTTTGGCTCTGCATTGGCAAACAGAGGCATAGACGCCACCAGCTTGCGACAATTAAAGTTGACAATTTCCTAAAACACACACACATTGTTTTATGCAAACAAAGAAAAGAAGTACAGCAAGTGTAAAAAAATCTTGCATGTATGACCAAAACATAAAAAAAGCTACTTCATAGAACTCATTGGTATTAAAATTATGAGCTGATTTGTTTCACGGAGGAATTAAAAGAGTGCCATGTTGGGTATATTTATCTCACCTCTCTGAGAGGCTCACTGAGTTCTCCCAGGATGCTCTCCTCGTCAAACATCTTGCCCTGGTATCTGTGCTCATAATAGTCATGGATTTTCTGTCGGAAGTCAGCAGGCAGCTTGTGGAAGGACATGTACTGCTCCACTTGTTTGTACTGAGAGAGAGAGATGGACAGATATGGTATTCTGTTAATACACTGCAGACAGTAAAACTGTTTTTACTGACCCACTTCCAGCCTTCACATTATCAAGTCCAACAAGTGATGGGGGCTTCATGGTAGTTTAGGTAAAGATACATGGGACATTTTTTGCCCCACTTTCTTGTAGTTAGACATAGTTCTGCTGAATTATTTGTGTTTATAGTAAATTTGAAAGCATTTTTCATTATTCTTTAGGTTCATGGTTTTTATCGTCATTCACATCACATGTGGTACATGAGGTGGAACGAAATTGTGTACTCAAGGTCCCAGTTACACCCAAAAAGAGCAAAAAGTATGAAGTGTAAAAAGAAACAGTATACAAGGAGCTAAGCTATATGTTAAACACGACTTATGTAAAATAATACAGTATATTAAACAGCAGCCCAATAAAAGACGATAAAGACGAAATAAGTAAATAAATAAATGATACAAGACGAAAGAAGTAACAACAGCTCATTACATTCAGACAAAGTGAGCAAACTGGGCTCTGAGGACAACAGAAACTTTTTTAAAGCTTGTTTATTGTATATCAGAAGAGACGCTTTCATTGTCAAAATGTAATCAGTAGTATTTTATATTGTACATGCTAGCCCACCCATCCAATATCACCACTGACTGCCACTGATAATCATCATAATTCATTCCAGGATAAACATATACAAGTTTAAACATCTAGTTTACAAAATATTGTGTGCAATACAATGTCACCTCTCGTCTAAAAACATATTTTCCATAGGGCGCGCAACAAGCCTCTCATGTGTAGTACATTAATCTCCAAACATCACTCAGAGAACAAGATGTCATGCATGTTTCAGGACTGTTCTTGCCCAGAGACCTGGGACATCTTATTACAATGCTGCTTTGCAGAGACACACTATCCCTCCTTTGATACCTCGTGAGTCAGAAGACTGCATTCAGCTACGGACAATGACTCACTTTTACTGTAAGTTCCTTCACAAACTTCCAGTGCATTAAGAAACAAAGCTGCTCAGCTCAAAAGAATAAAGCACTCCCACCGTGTGATGTGTTACCTGTAAACACACTAATCAGTGCTAGATCAATTAAACTAAATGTGCTCTGCATTGCACAAACATAATCAGTTTCTATTGTTGAAATATGCTAATTGCAATCCTTGAAAGGTGAGAGACATACTGTGTGTCAGGGCATCAGAGAGGGGAGTGACAGAATAATCAGCTGCTGGGATAAAAAGGTTTCTCTGTATACTTTGCTATCAGACTGAGCGCTCCAGCCAGTTTAAAGACCATAGCTCAACTCTGTAAAGCTGTCCGAAACATCATTTCAGAAGGGTTACCAGCCTGACAGATACCCAGCACTCACAGCTTTCAGTGATTAAAGAAGTCATCATCAATACTGTTATCACAACACTCAGAAACTACAATCTAAAATAATCAAGATACATCCACTGACAGAGACATAAATGTTTCCCTACAAGATCCCAAGCTCATTTCTCCTTCAGACAGCACTGTGTTTGTGTGTGTGTGTGTGTGTGTCCTGCCAGAGAACAACAAGGTCCACCAGTTTAAAGAATGGATCCAAGCTCAGAGTCCCCGATTCCAGCATGTAAACCCTAACAGAAAAAATAGTGTATTATCAGAAAACACACACACTGCCACTCTGTTTCTAAAAGAAAGCCCATATGGAAAACATTTTGTAGAACTGCAGTGAAAGCATGTGCACTAGAAAAAGTTCCCACTTCGAATCTTTGCTACACGGTGCAATAACATCTTCAGGTTTTCACATTTATGACAGCAACACATTACCCAGGAATAATGAACAAACCCAAACCCAATCATTCCACTAATTACTTTAACAAGAACATTTTTCAGCCGCGTATTCCATTGCAATATTTCTTTAAACATTTAGTTGCCTTTGATGTTTACAGCAAGCTGGTTTTTGAATTAAAGTGTTACCACTAACCTTAAAGCCCATTATCCCTTGAAGGAATGCATATCGTTTGTGCCTTTCATGCCAGTTTCAGACTAGGCAAATCTTTTGTTGCGAAATAAGAAACTCCATTTTAGTCAAACCTTGAAAATACTGTTATACTGTTCATGTAGCCACAGACACAGACAAGTGCATCGCTCTGCATTTGTCTTACGACATCTGACATGACAAGAACTGTAGGAGTACCCTGAGAAATCCAACTAAGCAAGGTATCGTGTGCCTAAATATTCTACTGGCAATAATTGACTCTAACCAGTAACATATAAATATATCAATCGTAAAGTATAAACTTTAACATACTGTAAGAAGTTAAAGCCTAATCTCAGTCTTTATCTTTTGATCCATTTAGCTGAATTAAAGAGCAGCAATAATGGAAAAAGTACTACTCTTGTTTGACACAACATACTGTTTGAGGAAAGGGAAGCTGATACATCATAAACAGGTTTGTTTATGCAACAGAGGCAGGGAAAACTGCCTGTCAATCTGCTCAAAACATAAATCCATAAACCTGCCATGACCCACAGGGATTCTTACAGGAATACAAAACCATTTAAAAGACAAACAAAACTTTTGAATTGCAGGCCTGTACGAGGAACGGTCTTCTGCAGAGCTGCTTAGACGGAGTGGCCCAACACAATCTCACCTGTATGAGTGACTCCGCATCCTGACATCTACAGATGGGGAGCAGCCTGAAGAACTGACCCCATGTCACAACTACCCAATAACACTAACAGCACAGCTGGTGTGTCCCACAGAGAACAGAACAGCTGATTGTGAGAAAAGTGTGTTTGTGGGTGAGTTTGTCATTGTATGTGAGTGTGTGTGTGTGTGTGTGGGGGGGGGGGGGGTTGTTCAACAGGTGTTGCAGTGATGCAGTGACTTCACGGCTGTGGTCAGATAAGAGTCTGACTCAGCTAATTCTGGACTAATGAGGTAGCTGAAGCCTAAATGCAACTTAATGACTTGACTTTCTACATCGAGTCACAGTTAAAAGTCTCAGCCGTCAGCAGGCGACTCTGAAACCTCTGCAGCCTTACCGAGAAAGAAGATGCAGCGTGTTTGGTCATTGCATCGCAGCATCCAGAGATCTGACAGGAAACGTAAAGCTTGTCTTCTGTGGCACTTTGACTCTGAGTTTGCCATTTAAGCAACTTTTTGGCAATTGTTGTCATTTTATTGTCACGAGAGGACATTTGCGAGTTTTTTTTCTTTTACTTGAAATACGATGAGTTTTATTGCTTGCTCCCAAAAGCAAAGGAAATTGTTTATTTTGCCATGTTTGTGTCTGTGTGTGTTTGTTTGGCTGTACTGTTAGCAAAATATCTCCTGAACAACTGAATACATTTTACCGAAAACCTCAAAGTTTTGGTGGATGCATGTCTACAACTTATTTACTTTAGCAACCACCACAAAAAAGAATCACACTCAATGATTAAGCTAAAAGTTGATGTGGTAGTAGCTGAGAGTCATCCTCAACACATATTTTAAGCACTAACATGTTTGTTAATGATCTCAAAGTATGAGATTATGCATCATGTTATTTACTAGTTTTGACCAAAATGACTATAACAGTTTTTTCTGATGATAAGATTAGTCTAAAACTTTAGCATGAAAAGCAGCAGGCCATTCACATTCCTGCAAGCAATTACCCTCTAATACTTTTTATAAGTTATGCCTATAAACCAAAAATCGAGTTTTCACAGTCTTACTCACTCCTCATATATTCCCAAAATTTCTAATTTAGGTTTAGTTCAAATCACCATTTGGGAAGCAAATTTTATTCAAGTCATTCTCTCCCAGCTCAACCGTCTCATTACAATAAGAAGCGCATTCACCTAAAGAAAGGAAAATCAGATAGTGGGAAGTCAGCGCTTGTCTGGTCTGTCTGTAATTCAGAGACGTGTAAAGGAGGAGTGACAGCGCACTGTAAGGACTCGCACAGTACAAAGTCTCATTTAATGAAATGAAGCTTCTTAGGAAATCCTGGAGCTCATTCAATGGGAGTGACAACCAGAAGCGACCGAATGATAAAGCTTTGTTCGTTAAGAAAGAAAAATAGTATCTGACACAACAAAAAAGAGAAATAGTTTTTGTTTAAAATGTTGGCCACAGTCTTTGTGTAGTCAGCCAGTTTCTGAGTAACTGAAGTGATCAATGAGTGGTTTTCAAAAAAAGAAGGGGGGGCTGTTATTGAAGGTGGCAGCAGAACAAAGCTCATTGTGGTGAAATATCACAGAGAGCTCCAATTACCATCTGTTCTTCATGCTGCTGACTGAGCTCAGTCTCTGTCCAACATCTGGCCAGAACTTTGGTCAGTAACATAAACTGTGGGGGGCTGACCCAACGATGTAAAGAAAGATCCAGAAAATGTAACTAAACATAGGAGCATAAAGGTTCTCTTTAAACCCTTTGGTGCATCACTGTAAAAAGAAGCATGTGTCATAAAAAATATTAAATTTTGGCTTCTTTATGCTACAAATAAGGTTTGCACATTTTTAATGAGCCTGCCTGTTATTTGAAATCTTTTAAAAGCCTTCAGAAACATTTATCAAACAGAAAACTGAACCGATGTGTCATTTTGTTGTGTAACAGCTCACACCCTGTCTGCTCAATCTAATTAGTGCAGTAATGAAGCAAGAACAGGAATAATGATGCAAAGCATTAACAAATTATTCATATTATCAACTACCCCTGCTGGTATTGGACAATACAAAATTCTGTAATTTTTTTAGGGTTATTTGTTGTGTTTGATTAAATTATTGGCAGCCCTGGAGTTTGTTGAATTTAGCACTGATTGTACTTTGTACAAGGATCTGCCCTTTATAACAGTGAGTTTATAAAGAAAAAAATTATATATATATATATATATATATATATACATACATACACACACACACACGTTTTTGTTCTCATTTTTCATGAGCTGAACTCAAAGATATAAAACTTTTTCTTTGAACACAAAGGGACTTTTTCTCTCAAACATTGTTCAC